CACCAAAAAGGTAGATATCTATTTTCATTATCATTTTCATTTATATTTCGTGCATGAGTATATCGCTTTTCCAACCAGTACCATCTGAGAGTGATTCTATTTGTATGCATATATTATATTTTAATTATTTTCTTGCATTTAATAGTTAGAAAAAAATATGAACATTTGCACTTTAGAAGAAATGCAGGAAATAGTAAAAATAAGTATAATCGCTTTCATAAATAAACATAACTATTATAAAATAAAAACATATTTACCAACCTATACGATGCAGTATGAAGTCCACTGTCATTTTTCTCAGGTGAAACTTGTCGTTAAATGCACTTATAACAAGTTGGCCTTTATTAGGCCTTCATAAGTTTTATTTTTCATTCACATGAATTCTATCTCAATACTTAGGCATTTTTTTGCCTTCTATCTAATTAAATCATTAATTTAAGCGGCTTTCCTACAGTGCATGTAATAAGTTTGTAATTAGAGAAGCTTACTTGACGTTCTAAACTTAGGGTTTAGAGTTCTGAAAATGTAAATATAACTTAACACTAATTCATTAGATAAATAACATTTAAATATTAAAATCAGTCCCCATACCTGAATTCTTTCATAACAAAGTTGATTTATTGATTTGGCCCTAAATTTTAAAAAATGAATTTTTAGGGTATTATGAAATTAATAAATTAATTAGGAATTAGAATTTCATAAATTAAATTTCCTATTCTTACCAACTCTTCCCAATCCTTACCGACTTACCCCATTTTTTGCGAATTGAGCATGTAAGGGCTCAGTTGAGCTTTCGGGGAAAATTCCTACGGGCTTACATAGCTGAATCAAGCTCTCATGGATGTGGAAAAAGCAACACGAGCCCTTCCTTTGTAACGACACAGGAAGCCTAATTCTTCCTTCTTCTCCCTTGCACAGGAAATGGACGCACATGGAAGGCTTGATTTCTTTCATTTTTGTCACTCACGCTTGTATCTGGCCCTGAAACAGTTGGATACTTTAGATCATGAGGAAGAGCTTCAGCGAGCTACCCGAGCGTATATGAGTTTGGTTCCTCTCTCCCTTCTTGTTGTTGAATGACACACACGCTTAACCGAGCGTCTTATGCATGCAGGAAAGGTTCCCATGAGCTGCACAAGGCTCCTTCAAATGAGGAAATGGACACACGTGGTGAGTTGCACCTTTTTCTCTTCCCCTTTTCCTCCTTCCTTTTCTTCCCTCATGTTCCTCTGCTTCTTTTTCTTTCTCTTCTAGGGTACGACATCTTCTTTCTCTGTCTCTCTCTCGCTCTCTTCTGTTCACTACTCTTGTGAGGTGGGTTCGAATGAGAGGAGACTCGAAAAAAAAAACTCCTCATATTAGCTTTCCCTTAAGCGGTGAGGTCGTTCTCTGAACGACGCTTGCTTCATAGGTGTTGTAAGTAGGCAATCAGTAAAATTTATTTATTTATTTATTTTTAATTCAATTATTTAAAAGTTTATTATTACAATCTTCCCTTATAAAAATTTTGTCCTTGACATTTAAAGTTTAAGAACATAGTTCATATTTTGTTTGACAAGTTTTGAATAACATTCTCTCATTTTTTATTTCTTCTCCCATGTAATATTTTTTTTTGTTTCATGCGTGCATAATACACTAACAAAAGGAATCTCTTGATTCATGAGCTGCTTAATATCATAATATATGATTCTTTCTAGTTCTTCTATAAATGTTATAATAGGGTGAATGTCTAGGGGGCCTCTAACAAGTTTGCTAGCCTCAGCAGAAATATATTTTCTCAATAAGGAGAGATGATAGGCATTATGTACCTTGTACATATATGCAAGTAGGGCAAGCTTGTAAGTCACTTTCTTAATCTTCTTCAAAATCTCGTATGGGCCAATATATCACGAGCACAGTTTCCTAGACTTTCTAATACGTTTAACACCTTTCATCAGATTAACCTGAAAAAAACCAAATTCTTCTACCTCAGATTTCACTGGTTGGTGCTTTTTATCACAATACTTTATTTGCTAGTCTTGATTTGCTTCTGTTTGCCACGAATCAATCAGATCTTCTCAGTAGTTTCATTAACTAAAGCAACACCAATTATTTTTCTTTTATCAGTTTTTACTCAGCAAATAGGTGCCCTGTATTTTCTTCCATAATGAGCTTCATTAGGAGCCATAGCAATAGTGGTTTGGAAGTTATTATTGTATGCAAATTCTATCAGATATATGTGCATTTCTCAACTTCCACCAACATTACTCTCATAAATTCTATCAGAAAATTTATCAAACTCTCAATTATATTATTCCTTCTATTCATCAGCCATCTGTGAACAATAATTTCTTTTTAACAACAATTGTAAGACTTAATAAGATGCTTGCATTCTTCTTTATAATCTTTTAATAAACTCTCTCTTATTTTATTATAAGAAAGAAGTTGATATCCTGCATAATAACAACTCACATCAATAACTTGGTGCAAAAGATAAATTTAATGCATTTGTAGGCATGGAACACTCAAAAAATCATCTTTCAAGTGTTATATCAGCATTATGCATAGCATCTTTAAATGAAAGGAACTTTTTAAGATTAGCTGTGATCTTGGTTTTGTTTTAAGAGCAAAATAATTTTTTAATGTTATCAGTTTAATTTTTTTTTTTGTCATGTTTTTTATCTTGTGCAGTAGAATTTTAGCATTTGAAAAGAGAAGAATACCTCTTCTTTAGTGGCTTGATCACCATATAATTGTGCTTTTTATTGCCATCTTGTATCTTATTTTACTCTAAATGTGTTTTTAATTATTACGTTTGATAACAACAAGCTGTGATACTTTTTACATGAACATTATTTTTCTTATCCCTAATAAGGCATTATTTTGTTCTATTAATACCCTCGTTTTTATAAATAATTTAATAATTCAAAAAATTATATAATTTTCTCATTTCGGTACCTTTATATTTTACTAAAATGATTTTATGCTAAATCCATTTTCTCATGAATACTAATTGATTGATTTTTTTATTATTCTACCATAAATATTAAATACATGTACCTAATGTTCGGAATAAAATAGAATGATTTATGCTCGATAAAGAAGAAAATATCACTCAACTCATTTTTCTTCATTTACATGAATTTATAGTCTGTATTTATGTAAATGTACCTATAAAGATATTTTTACATTTACTAAAATGATTTCTTGCTAAATCCATCTTCTTTGGAACATTATACTGAATTAATTGATTGATTTTTTTATAGTTTTATTTTAATATAAAATATATGACCCAAATGTTAAGGAAAAATAGAATGATTTATACACAATAAAGAAAATAACCTTTATTAATGTCAAAATTTTTTATTTCATTTATATATAATCATGCTATTTATTTATGTATCGAGAGAGTAGCACATCTACAGAGAATTGGATATGTAGATCAAAATGCTTTGAAAAAAAATAAATTTTTCTGTAATAAAACATTCATATCATGAATTTTTTAAGAAGTTATAATAAAATAAATAATATAAAATTGAATTATAATTGTTTAAAATATATTTGAAAATAAAATTAATTGGAAGAAAGCTTTAGTAGAATTTCAAACCTTCAGTAAAGGAGATAATTCTATAGATCGATTATCTTAATAAGAGCTTTGAACTAAAATTTTAAATGATTAATAAGTAGACAATATCAAGCCTAGCCATTAAAGTATTTGGAGACAACTATAGTTAATTTAGATTGGCATGGTTAATTGGTACGATTACTCTTGAGAAAACCCAATATTGATCATAATTTATGAAGTTCAAAGATTCTGTGCGGAAAATTAACACCTGAATAAGTATCCACAAAAAAATATTATGAATATAGTTTAAATATTAGAATCAAATAGAAATATTATCATTCTTAATAATAGTCAACACATTATGATAGTTTAATAAGCCAAGCAAGAAATATATCAATATCCAATAACATTAAATGACAAAATCAAAATGTTATCCTTATCATCATAAAAAGCTTTTTTTGAAAGTTTGCATTTTAACATACGACGTTTGATAAAAGAACCCAACCTTAATTCAGTCAGCTTAAAAGAAATAAAATCCAAAATATCAAACTAAACCATTCTTATAAGCGCAATAAACTAGTACATCTTATAGAAAATACCCTATAAGCAACTTTAAGAATACATAATTAATCAAGAAAGGAGAATACGATATTGCGCTCAAGTGTTAAGTACACATTTTAAAGGAAGACAAAAGATTTAATTTTCAAACTTTAAGAATCAAACCTAGCAAAAGGAGTAGCTGGCATTATTTTAGCCCCGTCAATGTTGTCTCATGCTTGTCTTTGTTATTATGTTCTCACTCGCAGCTTGCACACCACTCGCAGCTTGCAACCCGCAGACTTTTAGTTTTAAGCAATGAGAGCGAGAATATGAGATAGACTATGTGCGTTATAGGGAATTAGGGTTTTTAAATTAATAATTTCTATAATTTTAATATTTTACATAATAAGCGGTATCTTTCATATCAATGATCAACAGTGATTAAACCTATAGGATGAACTGGGCGGTTTTACATAGTTGGGACTGGTTTGCTTGTTCAATCATTGAACCAGTAATTCTAACTAGTTTCACTGATTGGATTTTGGGGGCAATTATTCAGTCTAAACATACCAACCATATGATTGTTCACGGTTTTACCAGTTGGTCCGGTCTACTTTTAGTAGTCATGGCAGAAAGGAAATAAAAGGAATTCACTTGATTCTGGTGATTTTATTTTATAGGACAAATTCATCTTTTAATGAATTTTAAAGTTTCTATAATATTACTCCTGTATTGTTCTTTCCCCACAAGCATATAGAAAAAATCAAAAGTACATGTTGAACATTTACTTTAATCTCCTAGTACTTTTAACTAACAGCCTCTTGGTTTATCATGTCTGCAATAATGTTACTGAGGGATTTCTTGTCATTGGAGCTGCATTTCCTTTTTTTGGCTAAAGCGTTCATTTCTATGGCAGCACAGCATTCCTTATCGGGCCCAAAAGGCAATTTGATTTGATGCTTGATGCTGTTCGTATATATGCAACAGCCATATATATGGCAAGCCTCATAATTGCTCTATTCTGTGCTTTTTATGTAAGTATGACAGTGCTTTAATTGTTTACCTTCAATTAATCAAGTTCGTGATGGCAGATATTTTTCAATACAAAACATAACTTTGTTATTTTTGAAAATATGCAGGTTCACAGTAAACTTTTAACACTTTTGGCCATTATATTAGAGTTTGGTGCTCTTGTATGGTAAGTTCTGAAGAAGAGAAGGATAACTTTGGTATCTACAACTCCTTTTTCTAGTATGATTATTTTACTTAAAAAAGTTTCTCTTTGTTATTTTAAAGGTGGATTTAGCTTTTAATATTGGGCATTGTTATCGTAGTTTTTCTTTTTGCCTATCAAGGCTCATAATCTCTATTTTTTGTTTGTTTTTCTTCCTAGTTACATCAACGTAACTAGAAGTTGAGAATTTATTAAATTTTAACAATCTGGTTGCTTGACGTTCACCATGAATGATGCAAAGTATAATGGTGTAGGGTGTACAAATCGTTTCCCGATCAATAATCATTTTTGAAGTGAAGTGCAAATCTCGAGTGATGTAAACCTCAGTCTATTAGTTGAGATGAAAGGGCACATTTAATCCTGCTTTTTAACTTTTTCTTTTCAATATCAGGAAATGCTTGCTCACCTTTTTTTTTTCCTAGAAACAAATTAACATGTTTGCAAAAATTTTGAAATTATCTCATGCAGTGTTTTCACTTGTTTTCTAAATATCTGTTATGGAAACGAGAAATACATGCACATTCTAATATTTATATTTTTAAGTGGGAACAAAAACGAGATAGAAACAAAATGGAAAAAAAGAACAACATAAATAGGGGAAAAAAATAGAACTACCAGGCTCATGAATGATGATTTTACTTTAGTAGTTTTTTCTCTGTTTTTAGGAATTTCATTTTTAGTTTTCTTTGGTTGCATGCCTATGATGTTCCTTTCAAGTATATGCTGTATTTTCTAATGTTTTGTGCTCCTTGATGCGGTTATCCATTGGTGTTTGTTTTCGAATCTTTGTTTGTTGCTTGTATTTTTCTGCATGGCGTTCATGCACACTTTTGTTTCTATGATATGCTTCAAGTGTACACACTTTTATTCTTGAACTTAATCCTTATAATGAGGTCCTTGTTGTTGGCACCTTCGGCATTACCCATGTTGCTATCTCGTTTACTCTTAAAATTTCTGTGTTGATGGTGAGCTCTTGTTAGGAAGGATCTTTGGTGACCAAGGGCATCCGTTGTTATTTGGCATTTACTAGGAGATGTACTTGCTCGACATTCTACTTCCTCTTGCTATTAAACGTGGTCATGATTTTCATCAGTATCCTTGTACTGCAATTTGCGGTCTTTATTTCTTCCTTTTCAAGTATATTGCTCTTTTTTTGACTCTTATATATCAAAACTTTGGTTTTCTAGGCCACCTCACTAAGGTTCGTCAAGTTGCAATGTATCACACAACCATTTATGATAAGTTTTTTTGAAGGCAACTAATTATGATAATTAGGGATGTAAAGTAGCTGAGCTTGAGCGAGCTGATAATTTTTTTATATTCAAACTGTTTGAAAATTTTGGCATGATTCTGTTTTGCTTATGCTTGAAATTATTCGTGAACAATGTTTGTGTTTGGCTTGTTAGAATTTGCAGCTAACACAAGCCAAACGAGAGCTTTACCGAGGTTAAAAAAATAAGTTTATGATTTAACTAGCTTTTAAGAAGGGTGTTAAAGATCCCATTGAACAATTCCAATCTTTCAACATTTGCCACACATGGGTTACAATTTTAAAATGCCAAGCTTTGAACTATAATTTAATCAATATAAGGTTATATGTCCAAATTATTTGTGACTAGAGAAAAGAAAAAAATAATATCACTAAATATATCACCTGGCGGAGGAATAAGCATGTGATGCTAGCACTAACTGGAAGAGTAGCAAGCTGTTCAACATATTTTGGGCAATGTCAATGATGAGTTATGCCTGCTCTTTATCAGTAATTTCTATGACTTGTTGGATAGAGTAGAGAAGTTTGAGAGACTCAATTTGTCTAGGTCGGCACTACAGATTGAGAGAAATGATATGTACTTGGGATAATTACATACATAGCAGGACCCAGGTGATTTTTTGAACTACTGAACCGGTGCAATTGTGTGTGCCACGATAAAGCCGTTGAAAATTTGATAAAAATGAAAAATATGGGTTGAAGCTTTATCATGAATTTTGATATTTAATTTAGAATTTGAAAAATGGATGAAGGAGGTGCTTGATTTGTAAATTGCAATGTTTTGGGTGCTATATATGTAAGCACGTTGCCTTCATCAATAAGGGTGTTAGTGGAAGACTACTTTTCACTAAACCGTAACAGCTTGTAAAGCCAAAACTCCCTTAGAAAAGTTTGATAAAGAATATCATTTTATGAGAGAGCATATATAAAAGCTCTTTGAGCAAGTACTTAAAGCAAATATCCATTTGTCAATAAATAATAAAACATTGTCTTTATGAGATGGCTTTATATAAAATATTAAAGAAACATGATGAATATGTCTAATTTAAAGACAGGCTTCGAAGGAATATCCACAAATTGAAAATTCTAGCAATTTTCGTTTTGCTTAGAAATCAACAAATGATTACAAATTTAAACTACTGTAACAACAACGACAATAACAACAACAACAAAGCCTTAATCCCACTACGTGGGGTCGGCTACATGAATTCTTTTTCTCCATTGTGTCCTATTTAGTGTCATATTTTCATTTAGTTATAGTAAATTAAGATCATTTTTTATACAATAAGCCCAAGTCTTCCTAGGTCTACCTCTCCCTTTCTTGACACAAGACGAATCTAAAACATCTACTCTCCTAATCGGATCATTAGATGGTCGACATTTAATGTGACCAAACCATCTAAGACGACTATCTAATTTTATCCGTCACAGGAGCTACTCCAACCCTATCACGGATATATTCATTTCGCATTTTGTCTCTAAATGTAAAGCCACTCATCTACCTAATCATTCTCATCTCGACAACAATTAATGCCAAAATTTAGCTCCATAAAGCATTGCAGGTCTCACCACCATCTTATAAAATTTTTCTTTCAGTCTAAGCGGTACTTTTCTATTACACAAAAGGCTTGACTCATTCCTCCACTTCAACCAACCAACTTGAATTCTACTACTAACATCCCCATCTATACACCATCGCTTTGAAGAATGGACTCAAGTTATCTAAATCGTTCACACCTTTTAATAATTTAATCATCCAAAGTCATACTTCTGTCACTAGAGCTACTACTACTAAAATTACATTCCATGTATTCAGTTTTAGTTCTACTTAAATGAAGGCCTTTACACTCCAATGTAGACCTCCATATTTCAAGTTTTTCTTGGGTTTTTTCTCTCGTTTTATCCACGAGAAGGATGTCATCAGTAAAAAGCATACACCAAGGTACATCCTCCTTCAGATGTCCAGTAAGACCATCCATAACTAAAGCAAAAAGATATGGGCTTAAAACCGATCCCTGATATAATCCAACAAAAATAGGAAAATATTTGGTCAATCTCCTTTTAGTTTGAACACAAGTAACAACTCTAGTATACATATCTTTAATGACTTGAAGATAAGTCATATCAACACCTTTCTTCTCAAGAACTCTCCAAAGGATATCTATTGGAACCTTATCGTAAGCTTTTTCTAAATCAATAAAAATCAAATGTAGATTCTCCTTATTATCTCTGAACTTGTCCATCAAACCTCTTAATAAATGTATAGCTTCCATAGTAGACCTGCCCGACATAAATCCAAATTGATTATGAGAAATCTTTGTAATACGTCTTAACTTATGTTCAATTACCATCTCCCATAACTTTAAAGTATGTCACATTAACTTAATTCCTCTATAATTTGCACACTCTTGTGCATCCCCTTTATTCTTAAAAATGGGGTCCAAAATACTCTTCCTCCACTCAGACATCTTTTTAGTTTTTAAAATAATATTAAAGAGTTTAGTAAGCCAAAAAACTCCCAAATCTCCTAAATATTTCCACACTTCAATTGTGATATCATCAAGTCCTACAGACTTTTCACCCTTGGTTTTCTTTAAAGCCTCCTCAACTTTTTTTTACTAATGTGACGGTAAAAATGAAACATTTTATTATTATTCACGATATTAAGAATACTAAAGTAAATCGTATTTTCAGAAACTTCATTAAAAATTTATCAAAATAACTCACCCACCTATGTTAAATATCTTTTTCTAAGAAAAGTACTTTTTAATTTTCATCTTTAATACACTTTACTTGAGTCAAATTTTCACTTTTCTCTTTTCTTTGTTTGGCCAGTTTATACATATATTTTTCACTCTCAATAGAATCTAATCTATTATAAAGATCATTAAAAGCAGAATTTTTAGCTTCACAAATTGTTCTTTTAGACTCCCTGCGGGCCCTCCCTGCGGGCCGTTTGATCACAGATTGTTCTTTTAGACTCCCTGCGAGCCGTTTGATATTTTCTCCAGTTCTCTAAGCTTTATAATTTAAACCAATTTTTATAACATAATTTCTTATATTTTATCTTTTCTTGCATATTATTATTCCACCACCAACTATTTTTATTTATAAAAATATTTTCTTTTGATTCCCCAATCACATCTTTTGCTACTTGTTTAATTGTGTGTGTTACTTTATCCTACATAACATTTGCTTATTCATGAACTTCCCAAATTTTGAAATCTTGAATTTTACTCATAAAAATAATTTTATTTGTTTCTTTTAGGTTCTCCCATCTAATTCTATGATAATAAGTCATAGTATTCTTTATTTTAGAACTCTTCATCTTATAATTTAGAACTTAAATTCTCGCTTGGAATGACCTTACAATCTTTACAATCTCGACGATATCTTCTTCTCATAATAAAATAATCAATTTGTGTTTTATTAGATCCACTCTTATAAGTAACAAGTTGCTCATCTCTTTTTTTGAATAAAGTATTAGTAAAGAAAATCATACGCTAAAGCAAAATCTAAAATAGCTCTACCTTCTCATTAGTTACTCCAAAACCGTAGTCACCATGAGTATTTCTGAAGTCTTCTACCACTCTATCGACATGTCCATTTAAATCTCCTCCAATAAAAATTTTTTCTTCAAGAGATTTGTATTAAGTCTTCTAAGTTATTCCAAAAATTATCTTTAGACCCTGTA